CAGGGTAGCAGTTTATCTCACTCTTTCTGGGGATATTAGAAAACTGGAAGTTGTGTGTACCTTCCCAGCCCAGGAAAGATCTTTATGTACATGTCTTTAAGACTCAAGCCATAGCACTTGAGGCCATTTTTTTTAAGACCGTATGTTAGAAAGTGTGTAATTGTGCAGAAAACCTGCAAACATTCTCTCAGCACATGCTTCCAAATCACAGGTTGGCTTAAAATTAGTAACAAAAAAGAATCTATTGTCTTTAGCTCTGAAAAGGGGCTATGCAGGTTTAAGTATGTCATGATTTAAGTTAAATATGATGGTCTATTAACTATATCTTGGTTTAGCATAAGTTGTATTTCATATACGTGCACCCACAGGAGTTCACTACATCTGAAAAATTAAGATTATTGTCAAAAAGGCGTGCATATGGTATTTGACCAGTGTATAGAGAGCATACATACAAGTTTTATAAAATAACAGCTTATGCAAAACGTACTAGAGGAGCCCCACACAGCTTCTTTGCTGATGATTTATGAGGATATACTTTCACCTTACTATAAACACAATCTACGTATTGCATTGAATATATATATACAACTGCCAAGTATAGGAATTTTTACAGTCCAGTTCAAGCTGCTGATAATAGGAAAAACCAGCTGCCGCTGGTTGGCTGAAAAAAGACAGTAAAGCAAACAATCCCCCCCAAACACATAGAGTCCATGAAAATAGCATAAATAGACAATAAAATAGGAGTATACACAAATTTCTAGTGTATCTAGATTATACAACAAATTCTAATTACAGTACTATTTCATTTGTATGACAAAAGATATTAATACAAAGCCTTGATTTTCTGTTTTGGAAAAAGAGGGGATACCTTTGATTCATTGTGTTTCCACCTTCTCCATATCCTTCAAATCTAAAAAAACAGAGTATTTGATTGTCCTTTGAAGCATAATTAAAATAAAAATACCATTCTGGAAATACTCGAGACTAAATAGTGCTGTATCGAGTCCTTCCAATTTACAGCTAGAGCACGTATTTGACTTTTGTTCTTTTCTCCTCCTGCAAATTTAACCTGTTTCATTACGTCCTTCCCAGATATAGCGTCTTTAAAAACATTCACCTCTGGCTTTAGAAGAAATGAAGGTGTAAATAAGGAGTGAAATTTCCTCCAAAATCAAAACTTAGTTCAAACTGTGACTGGCAGTACATGAAGACAAACAATTTCATTTACCCAGTACCTTAACTTTTTGAGTCTGCGGTAGCGTGTCCCGAGAGAGACAAGAAATATTTTGCAGCAACTTAAACAGACAGATAGGTTTTCCAAGACTCTTTTAGAAGACAAATACAATTTTGAGAGCTATGGTTGCTATATAACTTTTTAGCAAATCAGTACTTCTATCGACCATGGCTTGGGGCAGAGTTTGGACTGCTGCAGTGAAGGATTCAGCCCGCCTCCATGGCAGGACCAAGGCTCACCTTCACCATCATGGACCAGAAACCTCTCTCACCCTGAGCTGGAAGATGCACTGTCCTTACTGAAAGCCAACCTCGCAAACACAGCCTTAACCTACAGACTGCAGCCAAAGTGCAAGAAGCCACCAAAGGATGGAAAGACGCATTTGCTTGAACATACAGAACAAGTCCCACTTTTTCCACTCTTCAGCAAACAAAGGGGAAAGCGGGGCCGGGATTTGCTCACAAATGAGCCAATGCCACCCAATTGCATTTCATTTCCAGAGTTACCAACAAGGAGCTCTGGGGTCTGTCGGGTTTCGGGGCAGTATGGCAGAAGCCCAGTGCTGTAGCCATCAGAAGATGGTTGTTCAGTGTCTTGTTCTGTCTTTCTTCAAGCCAATTATACCAGCCAGCTCTTGGGATATGTGACAATTACGTGACATGTGGGAACCATCCGTGTTTTGTTGTGGGGTGGGGTTTTTTTACATCACCTCTGACCTCTTTAATTATGTATCAGTTGTCTCTACAGCGCTCAATGCCATGGAGCAGCCCGAGGCAAAGCCGCCTGTAGGGACCAGGTCCTGCTTCACAGACTTTCCTTTCATTGGTTCTTGGCTTACACAGGGGACGAGTGAATATTCCCTCCAGTTACAGGACTGCCACAACTGTAGGGAGCAAAGATTCCTGTCCTTGCCCTAAAGGTTTTGAAAATCTTTGTGGCTTTATGAAATCCTTTTTTCTTCCCTCCGGATTGAAATTAAAGCCTAATCCAGGGTATTAATACAGATGAGAGCTGGAGTGGGCTGACCGTAGGCTCAATATGAGAAGAAAAAGGGCATCTGTGCAGAGTGACACATAAACTCCTTGGTTAGCTCTCATATCTTTCAGTGTGAAGTGCTTAATACAGCCAAGGTGCACAAACAAAATGAATCAAACCGTTTTTCCACCTAGAACAAGAAAAGTCAGTGGCTGTACTTATGGAAAAAAGATGGCTAAAGCACACATCTCAAAGGTCAACTCTCCGTTGAGTCTCCTGCCTGACCTGCAAGATGCAGGATGGTTTGGTAGAGATTGGCAGCTCTAAAAATGTCTCCTTGCAAATGGCAACCTTTACATGCATTTTGTTATGATTTCCATTATTATTGGGACTGTTAGTATTAGTAACATCAGACTCCAAGCCTCTTCAGTCGTCTTTGTGTTATCCCAGAAAAACACTCAAGTCTTTTTTTTGTCTTTTTTTTTTTTTTTTCCCCAGAAATACTCACTTCTCATATTGGAAAAAATTGCTTCTGTTTCCAGTTACTGATATTTTACGAGGATTTTCACATAGTACAGATATTCCGGGGGCAAAATCCACTCTTTTACCCGTATTTCTCATATACACACCACGATTTACAACTTCTATGCTTCTATAGATACATTTACAGTAACTTCAGCAAACTACTACTAGTCAAATTCTGATCCACCTCAAAAGTTGCTGACCTCAGCAGGTCAGATTCAGCCCTAATTACAGTGACAATTTGCACTGGCAGGATAGCTCAGCGCTTGCCTGGGGCAGACTCCCACAGCACGGCTTTGAAATCAGTCATAACATACAGTGTCTGAACCTAAGGATACGGTCTGAGGATGCCAGAGTCAGTGAAGACAAAGGCTACAATACACTGAAATGATGTTTTACATTTGACAATATGAAATAGTTTTACAGGATATATAAATGTTTACAGGATGCATACAATATAAAATACTCACAGCACAGAATTGCAAAACCATTTTTACCTGCCAAGGAGCAAATAACTCAGAAATCCGGCACACGGCATTACAGAAATCCCAAACTGCACGTGGAGCATCTGAGAAGTTAAACCAGCACCACAAGGTACTCTAAGTAAGCGTTGTGGTTAGGAAGGCACTACGGCTCCCTACAGAAGTAGGCTAAGCTGATGCTAGATGGAGTGGAAACAAAGAAAGCGTTGTTTTGAAGTAGGATGGTTCCTATTTTCCCTTCCCACATTAATTGGATGAGCAGTTATTTATCCACAGTGCAGAGGAGGAAAAAGGAGCCTCGAAGGTACGTAAAGATATGCAGACTGGTAAAACAGGAATCCAGATGTCACGGTTTGTGCCCGGTTTGTGGTTGCTGGGCCATGCGAGCCTCCAGACAGACTCACCTGGACTCACTTAGGGACTGACAGCAGGTAGCCAGGCCAGCCAGCCCGCAACCTCCTAGCCCACTCTGCAACCTCTTCCAGCTGCAAGAATGGGAGGGTTAAAATAGTAGTATTGTGCCAGGAATTGCTGGCTTCAGAAATTAGCTTTCTGCTTATTCTTTCACCTGTTCCAGTTGAGAATCCCTAGGAGCCACTAGCACACGTGGACCCGCAGTGTTTGGGAGAATGACAGCCACCAGATAATTAACCCTTTTACCCTCTGCTGTTCGGTCTGTGTCTGACACTACATTAATTATTTATGTTCCGTATACTAACCATGCCGATGTCAGCACCGCTCAACATAACGCATCGCATCTTACAACTTCCACAGAGGGCACAAGCACCAGGGCTGGAGACCAGAGGCGAGTTGGATAACCTTCAACCTGGGTGGAACGCTGAGACAAGTAAATGGAAGCATTCTTAATGGGAAAAAAAAGAATAAAAGTGACTTTTCAAGAAAAAAACCTGCTATTCAAATCCTATCTTATCCTTCTGCCATACTGCAAGCTCAGAGAAACACAGGATGTGTCACATGTCTGAGATGGTCTGCACTTGTCTTCTACCAGCTGCCTCCAGTAAGAAGCACATGTATGGTCAAACCCCTTTGTCCTTTGCTTTACTGCCCATAAAGCCTTTATAATATTAACGTGAAGTAATGCAGTAACAATTTAATTTATAGATAATTTGATGTTAATTTAACAGCTAACCCTCTAGACAAAATCTGTACTTAAACTTCTACTAAAGTTGCATTTTAAAATTGTCTTGTGCTAATTTGCTAATGCCTACCTTGTTTTGAACTGTGGGAATGTTGAAAATAACACAACTATTTTATTTTCCAGGAAGTTATACTGATCACATTTGTTAATCAGAACAAAAAATAAAATACGTAATATGTTTGTTAGATTAGACCATTTGGGTTGTTTGCAAAACTTGGGTTTAGTAATTTAGCCCAAGTTGTCATAATGGTATACTGAACTGAGACGTGTAGCAATGCAAGTTTGATGCCAGTGATTTATGTGGTCAATAAGAATCAGACTCACAAAAATATTAACCAGCAGAGTCAGTAAATGTATAGAAAAAGCATAAAGCAGATAAATGACTTTTAAAGATACATGTACAGTTGGGAACATTTCCCCAGGAGGCATTTCTGAGCACCATACGGTCTTCATTTTTCTATTGCTCTGCTAGGATAAATGAAGTTTAAACAACTTTGATTTTAGCAATAACAAATTTTAGAAAAAAAATTAAGATGAAGAATGTAAGTTCCTATAAAATCATCTGTGGTATTTCAGTATTAAATCTAGCAGAAGTGGCAAGCACTGATTCAGATCTATTTGGTCTTACCTGAATAGGTGGGCTCTGATGTTTGAAGATCAGCCATCCATAACTTCCCCATGGTATTTGGTGGAGTGGCACCATAATCTGCAGAATCATCTGCATTCATGTGCACGTTGTGTGTCTCCATGGTCCTGTACCTCTACAAGTAAGTGATTTCCCATGAGCGCACACCACACTATCATCACCCTTTCACTCACTGAAAGCGAAAACATCTATTCACCAAGTAAATAATCACCACCCAGGGCTTCCAAAAAGAAAATTGAGGTGAAAAAGGCCACGAGCATCTCTCTAGCTGTTCAGTAATGATTTTGGTCTTTAACATGCTCCCAATCTTCAGACTAGCATACTCCACTAATCACGCTCTCTGTTGGGTGGCTGTTTACCATGGCAAGCGCCACTCATCTGGATTTGATAGTGCTTTTCTAGGGATTCTTTTTTTTTTGGAAAAAAAAAAAGTGCACTCAGTTGCCTCACTAATGTGTGGGAGACTTAAAAGTATAAAAAACCCCAAACAAAACAGGGATGGTTTCTAAGCAATACAGAAATCTTTTCCTAGATATTCCCATGCAGTGATGATGTCACACACTGCTTAAATTTGCATGTGCATTTACCACCGTGTGATCTGTGTTGACCACAAATATCAGATCCAGAATCATAATTAAATCCAGTCAGAGAACTGACAAGGTGCAAGAACTAACAATTTTGCACTACATACCTATAGACAAGATATAGGAAAGGTGAAGTACCCTACCATTCAGAGTAATATTTTCTTCCATCTGGAAAACGATGTGTTCATTTTGATCTTAATGAAATCTTCAAGGAACAAGTACGCATTTAGAGACAGGTTAAAATAAAATCAAATGAGATTATCATCCATATTCTGCCCAGACATTTTGCTGATAGGATTAGGGCAATTGTTTTGGTCTGAACTGACAGAAAAATTAAATATATTCTCCTGAGTTGTCAGATTTCAGATTTCAGGCCACATAAATTTTGCTAGCCAATCTTACGCAGGGTTTAAAGAGAAGCTACTTCAGCTTCAAATGCAGTTAATTGCAGAGGAGAATTACTGGTTTTGCAAAACCTCTGTCTGATTTAGCATGGTAGAGGCATGGCATTTCTCAAACGTCTCCATGAGGCTTTAAGAAACCCTGTGCTTGGGAGGAGCGAGCGCAGCAGGTGTGGAATGGTGCCAGTGCTCGCTGCACCACCGGCTACCACGTGGCATATCTTCACATGCCAAATTTCAGGAGCATGGCTTTGTAGGGTAGGAGCGTAGCAGAAGCTCCTCCTTAAGTGAGACAAAAAGGCTAACGTCAGCGAATTTGGTGTGGCCCCAAGCAGTCTGCCCGCAGTGTTCGCCAGCCTGGGGCTAGGGACCATGGATGCTAACTCACTTCTTCAACAATACAACACGAAGCATCATCTGCTGATGGAACCGGTGGCAGAAGCCATGGTGAACAGCTGAAGGAGTCACTCCGCTGCCCACCCAGGAGGACTGAGGAAAGTGTCTCAATGAGCTCTTACTATTTTCAAGCCTGCAGTAATTTTTGTCGATGAGGAATCAATTGTCCAAGACCCAGTACGAGCACCAGACAAACAAGGTCCATAATTGAAATGTTTATGATCAGAAAGACAACATTGTGGGTTTTTTTCTTTTTTTTCCTTGAATATTTATTTTGGTTGTAAAGGGCTGATTTGTTGCAAGTAAAACACTTCCAGTTTGAAAGTGAAAAATCGCAAATAAACAAACCCAAAAAAGACTCAGGGAGAACAAGGAAGCTAAGATATACTGACTCATGTGGCAGTCATAATAACAGAAGCCTGGCACCAATTTATCTTCTAGACTCCTATACATGCAATGTTAATCATTTAATGAATATTAATTTTGTTTACAATTTTTGTCTCTAGTTAAAGTGATGGTTCTCCACTATTTTACACTTATTAAAAGAAGGAATATATTATCAACCTTTACTTCAGTCTTTGTAAATTGAGCGTATATGTGTGTGTGTGCACAAATGCTATGAAGAGCCTACGTGTTTTCACTAGTAAATAGTAAGACCTCAGCCTCTTTTCTTTACTTTGCCACAGAAGTATTAGTCTCTGAGGCAGGATGAAGTGGCCAGAGTCTACGCTATACCAAGCAGCCAGATTTCCATTTAAAGTCACACGGGACTGTACATAGACAACATCTCTAAAAATCCCATCCATCAAGCCTATATTTGTTTTCGTGAAAGCAGACGTGATGACATGAAAACAAAACATTCCCCAGATTAATGAAAAGCTGAGCACTTTAAAATATTTTTTTTTCCATTCCATTAATAAGCAAAGAAGTTTCCAAACTAATTTGCCTAAATACATGTAGACAAGCATCATAGGACAAAAGCATTTTATTATTTTACTCCTCATTGAAACAACATTGCTTTCAACCTAAAAATCCCACAAAATTCTGGCTTACAGCAATCCTGGTAACATTCTAGAGGCTTATAAAATGCTGCACAGTGGAACATAGGAAGTTAGTAGGGCAGAAACTACCGCTCTCAGCAACCAGTGACTAAATGCAGAAATAGCCCGTGATCTGCTTTGCAGTTCCAGCTGCATCAGTGGTAGTCCTGGAATGCTCCTGGGGTTCAAGCCCTAATTCTGCAAGGTTGGTCATGAGCTGCCTCGACCCCCACGCACGCGCAGAGCATCGGGAGGCTCTGGGCAGAGCGCAGAACCGGTATGATCGGTGCCAGGGCCAACCTGACTGGGTGCTGGGTTTGGATTTGGAAGCCTTGCTCTTGACTTCTTCATTTACAGCACAAGCAGACCAGCTACATCTCTGGCTGTACCTTCTAGATTTATCTGGTGAGACACATCAAAAAGGGTCAAATTACTTTAATTTGCCAGATATCGCCGTGCCCCAGTCATGTGGCACAAACAACGAAGTGGCTTCAGATGTCATTCACTATTGCATTTTATTTGCGTCATGAGGATATCCTCCCTCTTGTACCATTCACTCCCTTCCTCCAAGACTTTCTTTATAAGGTAATAACCAAATTTTTGGGTTTTTTTCAATATGTAACAGCTGTCCTAATTTGTTATTATTATCTTGATGATGAACAGCCTGTACTGTTCTGTTTTGTATTAGTCTGTTCTCTTAAACCTCCGCTTCACTATACATGAACACACACACAAAATATTCTGGTGAGATCTCCACCATCTAAAAAGCATTACAGCCAGCGTCGATGAAGACGCTGAGGACTAAATGCCTGAAGATGTCAGGAAGATGGAAGGCATATGATATAGAAATAATCTCTCAGCTATTCTAGGTACATAAAAGATTGTGAAGAAAGTCTACAATTTGACCATCAGGCTCAAAGAAATACCCAATCATTTTTAAAAACGGTTAAGGAAGCAGTAATACCTGTAAGACTGCCGAGAGAGGGTTGCACGAGGTTTGTTTTTTTTTATTATTATTTTGGGGAAGAAGAGTAAGCGAAGAAGAAGAAATGGGGAATAGTAGTGGAATATGCTTTTAAATCATTATAGAAATGTAATGAAAGGGAATTCTGTTTAATAGTTGCATTATTTCTACATGACTACACTACAAAACTAGATATAAGATCTTGCTAGTCACACATATTTTTGTGTTTTTAAAAAAGTTTAAATATGTGAAAATGATCACATAGAGAGTTTATCAAAGTAAAATCTCCACCTACATTGCTGTCAAAACATCCCAAAAGAGACTGTACACTTTGAGAGGGAAAAGAAATATTTTATAAGGCAATCAGAGAGCATAGGGCTGGGCACGGGAGAGGAACCTCTTTCCTGTATGAAAACATGTCTAGTCAAAGTGTTGCTGGCAACAAAGCAAATTCTCTAACACGCACATTTTACGTAGGGAAGCAGGGAGAGGAGACTTTTGCTATTTCTGTAGTTTCATAATTGCATTTAAGTTCGTAGACTTATTACCAGTCTCTGCCTTCAGCCATGTGCCGATGATGAGGAAGATCTGCCCTCCCTCAGAAGTTCTGCCTTCACCCTTCGGCTTCCTGACAGAGCCGTCGCTTCCCAGAAGGGCTGGCTGCCGCTCCATCTGCCTGCGGTGCCTCATTACCACTCCGTGACGGGTCACCGAAGGCTCCTCTGGCCAGCAGAGAAGGACACGAGGCTGCCGATGACTATTAAACCAATTGAGGAAGAGGTTAAAGGAACAAAGTGCTTAAAATATTCATTAGTTTTCAGAAGCACGTATATCTTCTTAATTACCTTTGTCACTGGATCAAATTAACAAGGTTTTAATGACAGTTAGTAAGTGGTGTATTAATTAATTTAGGAAATGATTCATTTTCTCTGACTTTTTTAATTCCCTTCTAATAAAATAAATTCTGGCATGAGTTTTTCAATTAGGCATGATGTCGTTATTTCAAATGGTGTAATATTGCAGCTTGAACACCAGGATAGGATGAGTACATTCAAGCAAATAATTAGTGTGATGAATTCCAAAGAATTGTGCGACTTCTGAAGTCAAGTTTTTCTTTTCCAAAAATTTGTGTTTGTGTTTGTTCAGCTTTGGCTAAAGATTCATTAGCAACTTTAGCATACTTACAATTCTTCCATGCCAACCTAAAACATGTCTAAGCACGGCTTGATTAATATTATTTCTTAGGCACTGTCACTATCTGGCCATATGCACAACATCAGGTCTATGTGAATTAAGAATCATATAAATAGCAATCACCATAATAAAGAGCCATTATTTCAGCAATACCTGTCGAGACCAGCTCTCTGCCTAAATCAATCAAACCGCGCACATTAGTACCAACTTAGAGCTTAGTAAAGCATATTTATTATAATTATGCATTTTATCAGTATTTATGCAGCAACATGCCAGAAGGTCAAGTTAGCACTCTACTAGTAATTTTAAAGGCACAAAAATTTCTGATTTGTGTTTTGAGTTCTAAAAAATTGCATGGGACAGTCTGCTCTGTGAGGTGTGGGAATTCACTTGATGACTGCAGGTGTCCATACAGTTGTGCTTTAAGGAACAGAGACTTTTTTTTTTGTCAACAAATTAAATGAAGAAAATAAAGGTACAGTATTAGTTAGAGTATTAGCATGCAAATACCAGCAATATAGTAT